TTTTTTGAGCTTGGGAGTTGATTTCAGAGAAAACCAGTGGCACCATCGTGTTTCTCGCAAACTTTTACACAAGAACCAACAGTCAAATTGCAAATTCCTCACACATGCAACATCTCCATTCTGTCCGACCTCTCCTGTTGACTCGATCCACTGTGCGCCGGCCGCGCGGTCCTCTTAGGACAGGCTTTTTACGAGCCGAGACCTCGATCAATCATTCCAACGTTGCCGCTTTTATGAAGATCCTCCGGGCTGAGCGACTTTTAGGAGACAATTTAGACCTAGAATTGGCAACATTCCGGTTCATTCACTTATGTTTCAAGAGCAGGTGCCATCCGCGGGGTTTCTTCGCGCGGGATTCCCTCGCTTTGCGGCCCTCGTTTATCAGTTTCGCGCGTCCCCTCGACCCCCCCCCCGCACTGATTAAAACCACTCTCTGCCTTGAAGAAAGCTCTGGAATCGTAAGGGATTCGCGGTAATGGGCATCGTGATTCCCCGGTCATTTGTGTGGGATGACTGTTCCTTTTTTAATGGAGTCCTCGCGAGGTCCTACGATTTGCGATTCAACGCTCGAAAATTGTACGATATGCGGGGACATGGATTGAGTTTGGCAGGAAGGAAGTAAGTTTTCTGAGTGAAGAGGAGCCTGCTTACCAGAGAGGTGCTTTTTAATATTCCATGAGAAATGTTTTTTTCGAAATTTGAATTTTTAAAATACCGCAGGATTTTTTTATTTTTTTATTTTATTTTTGCCCTAGAGAGTCGAAGTTCCTGCAAAATGTATTATTTTTTTGGAAATTTTTAATACCATAAATACCCTCTCTTGAATGTAAAGAGAACCAAATCGATTCGATTAAAGGAACCAGGCGCACAATTGGCTCCCTCTAACAATCAGGTGTTCCATTGGTGAAAGCAATTCAGAGAAAGGAAAGAACTGTACAGGGGCCGACCCTAAATTATACTTAAAGCTTTAAGGGGGAGGGGGAGGGGGGTTGAGAAGAATTTTACGCCAATTTTTTTTTACCCGTGAAAGGATAGGGACCTACGTCACAAAAGCGTTACAAGAGGGAGGGGGGTCAAAATGCCGGAACAATGCGTTAAATTTAGGAGCGGCCCCCTATATATGCTAATGAAGTTCTTTCAAGTAAAAAACTCCCTTACTTGCCAAAAGAAACATGGTTCCTTTATGTTAAACTTATTTTACACGATGGTGCAGCCTGTTTCAGGTAAACATTTCGTTTTCAAGCTTCAGCTGATGTCCTGCCTGCTGCCTTGAAAATATGAGTGTCTTTTCAATCCGACGCGAGGGCGCAAAATCAGAGTTTGTCATCGTTTACATTCTAACGGATTAATCTATATTTTCAATGAGGTGAAAAATCTGAGCCCGTGCAGAAGTCTTGAAATTGGCTTTATCGCAGAAAATGTACCCCTGGTATTGTTTAAAAGTTATTCTCAAAATATCATAAAGCTGTCATAGAGTAGGACCTTCATGGCTGCCTCGCTTTATACTATGATGGATTCGCGACTAGAACGAGCGACTTGATGTCGATAGAATTTGAGCAACGTAATCATGTTTAGTCACTAAAAATGGATGAAAAGTAGTAGAGACACATGAAAGATGTTTTGAAGTCAACCCAATGAGTGAGAGGAAATCATGTTTTGTATGGCTATTAATTAAAAGCATTCCTCACTAAAACAATCGATGCCTTCTTAAGCTAAACCTCGTGTTGGACTAATTCCTATGTCCTGCACGGCAAAAAGGTGTATTTTCCTTCGTTCAAAAGCAAAATATCGTTTTAGAAATGCATATTTCGAAAAGCTTAATCAGAGAATTTTTGCATAGACTTTTTCAGATAGAGATAATAAGCATTTATTTCTCGCCTATAAATTCGCAAATTCAAAGTCTGGAGAGTATGAAATAGTGTCAGCTTCAGATTTAAGATAGGATTTGAATCTATTTTGATTTGGAATCCATCCATTCTGCGATATTCCTGAAATCAGCAGTACTAGACACTCTCGCTGAACCAAAATTTTAACGTCGTGAGAGGACCTCTGAGTTTACTCCAAAAAAAAAAGAAAGAAATCTCAATATTTTATCATCAAGCATTTTTTCAGTGACGTTTTGTTTGACGTTTCGTGACATCGAGATTATTGCCATTGAAAAAAATTAAAATTAGGTTACCTGATTGAAAACCAGCGGCAAAATTGGCGCACATCCAATAAAATACTTGCTATTTCATAAATAGATATTTTAGTAGTTCTTATTTCATTCTATGACGCAGAGAGTTTTCACCTGGACACTCATAGTGCATGTATAGTTAAAATAACTTCCTCATTGTTAAGTTGCAAAAATTTATTTTCACTGTACAGCTTCATGATATAAAAGTCTCATAAAATTTCACTTTCTTCACATTGTCTAAATATTGCACCTGAATATCATATTCGACTTTGAGACAGAGGCGTAATATTCCAAGAAAGGGCGAGGCTTCTAGACTGAAGCGAGAATAAGGAATTTTTTCAGGCTAGAAGATAAAATCATTTCATAAGTACAGTATGAATTTATGAAATTGGTTTCAAGTTTCAAGTATTATGAACAGGCAGGTTTTCCTTTCCATTGTGTTTTCTACCTTCCGTTTTTTTTTTTCAAATTAAACGGAAAACATTTTTAAAAAATGATAAAGGTTAATAAATTCAAAAAGCACGCCCATCGAGCATCGAGCTTCATTCAAATTCCCATGGAAACACTTTTCTCACATAGTAAACGCCTACATTTGACGCAAAATAGCTATTTCTAGATTATTCACTTCGTTCGAGCTTATGGATTTACCTTGGCTCATTTCATGGTGAGAATGAAACTTTACAGTGTGAAACCGATGTCATACAATGTAAATGTAACGAAATACGGGATATTATAAGGAGTACCATTAAACGAGGTAGGGATGAGGGCATCACAACTTTGCCGTGCTATGGAAAAAGGTCGCATGATCATTCAAATGTTCCCATACCTTTCAAAAATATTGATTTTTGAAGAAAGTTATGAATATTTTTCCTTGTTGATCAACTTACGAACAAAATTCGCTGATAAATCAAAAGAAAAATACTAAAAATTTTACTGGAAATAGATGATCCGTCAAAGGAGATTTGGCAGTGTATGAAGGCTCATGCGGCGTTTTTCCTTATCACAGCAATACTTAAACGCCACGCGGAACAGTTTGATGGAATGAAAACTTTCAAACTCGACCCTCGACTCACATGGATGAGAAATTATTACGTTGATAATTTACATCAAAATCAGTCAATTTAATTTTTTCCATCGGGAAAGTACTAAAATTAACCCATGTCAAAACGGCCTCTGGAAATTAATTAAAATCTCACTATAAAACTATAGTTTATAACTATAGCCGGTGAACTTCGGGGTCTCCAGAAGTCCTAGAACAAATACATTTTAAAGAAATTCAATTTCCCTCTCAAGTGCGACTCTCTGAAATGACCCAAGAAAAATTCAGAACACCGAAAAATTACTTCATCATCAAGCACGTTCAAATTATCTCAGCGTCGTCTTGGCTCACGTAGTCTTCACATTACTACAGAGAAATTGAAATTGACTAACACGGAAAATTGGGAAATTTTGATTCTTATGAGTTATTCGCATGAGTTGAGTTTAAGATTTTCTAGTGTTTCCATTGTGCTCCATGGAATTTTAGTGAAATACGTGTTATGATCAGGCCTGAATTCCTATCTCTAGTCTAGTGACATAGTCCTGTCTCTAGATTTCCGACAAATATTGGAAGTGTGAACGGCTGATGATAGATGCAACAGAGTTTTACCCCCATTGAATATTGCATGATCGTATCTTAGCATCTCTCTAGTCAAATTTTAAATGAATTCAATCATTCTCTGCATGTTATTCTTTGCTGCATATCTCATAGAATGTGTTAGTACTTTGTGGTTGATGTCTATGACAAACTCACAGTTGCAAGTAATGGGGAAACGCGCAGCTACGATTTTCCTGACGTGCTTAAGTCTACTATTTTCTGCTCAAAAAATCAGCGATATACTGTTGCAAAATAGCTTTATGAAATAAGTACAGTCACAGATTGATAGGAAAAATCGATGGCTCCACGAATACTCCGAGGAAAATGTTGAAAAAGGTGAGTACACTTGCAATGTACGTTCAAAAGGTAAATATTCCTTCGTGAGACAATTTAAATCGTAGTATTAAAATCACAAAAACTCGGAAACTTGCAATTAAATTGCACCGTTGTATTTTCATTCGGTGAGTGTAGAAAAAACCTTAAAATACGTGAGGGAAGGTGGCAAAAAAGCAATTTTTAACCCCATTAACTCATCAATATGTTGGTAACTTTTTTTCAATTTCACTCGTTTCGCACTTTGTTTCAGACGATGCACACTTCACGTTATTCTTGAAGAATAAAAGAACTGGAACTGTTGACAAAAGGAGTCCTTAAAATTAAAATCAAAATGACGAGATCAGCAAAAAACATTTATTCCGATAAAATCGCAAGTCCGGAAATGGCGCATAGTGAAGTTCATCCTTCTTCTCACTTACGCAGAAAGGGGCACGTTGAAGAAGTCCCAATTAGAATGGCAAAATCCCTTACGGAACCGAGGGAAACTGTAAGAAACGCAAAGCTGGGGAAAACTACGTGGAAAAGTTAAAAAATCGCGAAATTCCGCGAAAAATACGGGGCGGACAGTGAGTAACTTGTAAAGCGGGATTTGCACGAGAAGGACCGCGGAACAGGTGCCGGAATGTAAACAAACACTAGCGGCGGAGTCGAAAAAACCAGCGTGGTGGCGCTCCTCGGCGCTGACTAAGCGTCACGTTACGTCACGGATTTCCCGCGCCGGGGCGGAGCGGGGCGGGGTGGGGCGGAGGGAGTTTTGCAGAAGCTTCAGGGATGTTGCGCAGCGGAGTGGGAGGGCGTCAGCGGCGGAGGGAGGCTCCAGCTTTATATATACCGTTCCGACACCTGGGAACTCTGTCTTATTCTTTACCGCGAGTTCGTGCGTTTGAGTGGTCAATCGGCGTAAACACACTTGTTTGTCACGAGAAGTTACTAGCGAAGAGCGAGTTCAAGTCTATTTGTCCAGTTTTTTTTCCGATCGGGTCGCAAAGTTTTTGTTTTGCATTTTTTTTTTTCGCGATCGCAAATAGTTTGGAAGTGTCTTCGATTTTTAACGAATTTCTCAAGATATAGACGAGTTGTCGATTGTGCCAGCTCAAAGTCTGCGAAAGTCGTCAGCCTGGAGTTTGGAGCTTTTGCAGCGTTCAACCACGCAACAACCACCTCAAAACCACTTTTAGTTTCCGTGCTTAACAACCTAGAAAACCCTATCAAGATGATGGCCGTAGCTGCTGCTCAGAAGAACAGGGAAATGTTCGCCATTAAGAAATCCTACAGCATTGAGGTAAGCACCTGTCAAATATGCTTATTCCACCCCCCTCCCACCCCAAACTTTCAACTTGTCTATCGGAGCAATCAGAGACTATCAGGAGTCGAGCGTCTATGTTCGTTTCGTGAGCTTGAAAAGCTCTAAGTCCAACAAGTGCCTTCGTAGTGGGGATGTTTTTTAATAAGAAAAGATTTAACCATACGATAATATTAATGACGCAAGTTCTCTTTTGCCCAAAGTAATGGGCATTTTAATACATTAAAAAGAGCTGAGAAGGGATTTCGGGCCTAAGACAGCGAAAAATTTGGAAGAGGGTCAGTCTCGAACGGATATTTTTGAAGCATGGGCCGCCAAGGAACAATTCCGTAAAATATAGATACTCCCAAGAAATTTGTGTTCAGAATTTTATCATAGTTATAGTGAGTAAAGGGGAAAAGAAGGCATTTAATAAAGAAGCTGTACCTCAAACGTAATAGTATAATGCATTTCGCTTTCCGCAGAAAGGAATAAAATCTAAGTCCTTTAAAAAATGAGCGTGGAAGAGAGGATAGTGAGAGGGATTTAATGCTAGGATAAATATTTTAGCAATTTTCTCGAAATTTTTTTACTTCAAATTTTTAAATCTGTGCATGAGCTTTTGGAATCTTCACTATTGCTGATATTTTTCGAAAAGAGTTTTAAAATTTCGAGGTTGACGTTGAGGCTCAAAGAGGCGTTAATATTATTTTCACCTGAAAGCAGGTGAAAGCTCAAAGTGTCAAAAGTTTAAATTCAATAGCTAGAACTAGAATTTCATGGCGGAAGAAAAGATTTCATAGAAATTAAAATGCTTGAGTGTGAGGTCGATGCAGCAAAAACAAAGTAAACTTTTTTTTTTTTTAAGTTATCTTCAAAAAAAGGAAAATCTTCAGAAAATTTCAATTTTTTTTCATTAGGAAATCCGGGCAATGGCATTGAAATTCTCTTTCTTAGCAATGCAAAATTAAATTTTTTACACTTAAAGATATTTTTTAATTTTATCACTAAATTACGCAATGAATTACATTTTAAAGTTTTCCTCCGAAACGTATTGATCAAGAAATCGTAATTTTGCTATGCATCCTGCATTTTTAACTCGCGAATTCCGAGAAAAATTGATATTTGTTTCTATAAATGTAAACATTCATCTCGAACACCTATTAAAGTAATAACGAATACAAAAGCACGGTTCAAATCGAAGATTCGCGTGATATTTTTTATTTTCCTTTTTTCCGATCTTTAATTAAGCGTCTGACATTGGGGATCCGATCATTAGCGCACGCTCGAGTAATCGGTGTGTGATTTCTTGCGGATGCGCAGAGGTCCCTTTCTGTTGTGTGCAGCACGGTGTGGTTACTTGTACCGATTAATCATGAGTTTAACTCCACAACTTTGTAGTGAGTTTAGTTCTTTCCTTGAAGGCTAAGGAGCCGATACAAAGAGAGATGACCGATATTTTATCTCTATTTTTTAAGAAAGTTGGCAACGGCTGATATTTTGTGGCCCCTTCCGTAGTAGTAAAAGTAAACGTACAACGAAAAAAAATCTTAAAAATGCATGCATAAGTACTTAATAGCTGAACCATTCTATAGGCAAAAAAGTATTTTGTGCGAAATGGGTGGAAATTTTTTCAACTTCAAGTCAGGAAATCGTAATTGTAAACATTGATCAATTTCTTATTCTCCGGGTAAAAGACTTATTGTGTCTCTCATTTAGCACTGTTTTTGTAACTTAAAATGAGTCAGATCTTAAATCGTGCATATTTTGGGAGAGGAAGTTCTAGAAGTTGTTTCTCAGTGGGAATTCGATCCATTGTGTGATATAGCGCCAGGGATGAGGGAGGTAGGCAACCAGTCTGACCACTGTCCACCAGCCGAGCCCGCGCTTGAGGAATGGCAGGTGAGACAGTTAAAGGAAAAAAAACTGGTACCAGGGTCAAAAAGTGAGGTTGGAGCATTACCGAGTCCATGCGCTCAAGCGCTAGCGCAATGCTCGATGTAAGTACTCTCACCACTTCTGCGGTGCTGAGTAAAAACGACCTATCTGCATTGGTGCTCCCGCGGAGTTACGTGGATCCTGTTCAGCAGGAGTACCAGTGGCGTGGCGTGAAATGCGATATATCGATTGATATGTAATTTAAACCCACGGTATAGAATCGATTATTAAGGCGTTCGCTGCGAATACCCCGTTTATCGATCCTTTTCCATAAGTTTAAATGGCAGATCATTCGATATATCGCAAAGCACGCCACGCCACTGAGGAGTACGTGCGCTTCTGAATCCTCGAGACCTTGATTATCTTCTTACGATCGAGCTATGAGGCTATGACTCGCGTTCCACGACCTTGCGGCAATTGCGGGCAATAACTCAACGGTATTCCGGGCACCTTAAATACACTCTCGGCGCGTTACGTAATGAGCCGAGATACAGCATCCATGGTGCACCAGCGCTGGGGAACTCCACCCCCGCTCTGTGCTGCACTCGGTTGGTCCTTTTTCGGGGGGGGGGGGGGGATACTCTAGTCCTGGAGGAAAATTGCCCTTTAAGGCGGAAAAATTCCTAGTCTCACTCTAACTTCTGGCGAAGTGCAGAAATTCCACTTCGAGAGACGAATTTTCTTCTCCGGAAAAATTCCCCATTTTTCTTCTCCGGAAAAATTCCCCATTTTTCTTCTCCGGAAAAATTCCCCATTTTTCTCCTCGGGAAAAATTCTTCATTTTCTTCTCGGGAAAAATTCCCCATTTTCTTGTCGGGAAAAATTCCCCATTTTTCTCCTCCGGAAAAATCAAAGGGAGAATTTTCGATGGTACCGCGGCGATATCGAAATTTTTTGAACGGAGATCCTCACAGGAAAATTCTCTGAGACAGGTGGGATTTCTTATTATCTGCCAAGGAAGTAACGTCTGAAATGGAAGCAGCGATTTCATATACTTTCAAATTCAGCTTTCATTGGATTTCACAAGAAACTATTACATTCGCGTGCTTCGTTCTTAACCGAAATTTTAAGATGAGCATGTGTAAGACTAACTCATTGTACCTATGAATTCAAAGTTGTGAGCATGAATGAGGTACATTGAAATGTGTTCTCCGAATTGGTGGATACGCTTGGCCCAATTCGAGTCACTTCGTGGCGAACAAAAAATCAATTTAAAAATAAACTGCATACATTTAGCCGTAACTTAATCGGTGAAGGTCTTCGAAGAGGAGGTCCTCAAGCATCATGGGTGTACGTTGTACGTTCGCATGCAAGCCTAAGTGAGTTGTAAACGGTCCCGTGTGTACGGGGAGTTATCATGTGTGAAGGAGAAAAAATTGAAGCTAATTATAAACTCCGATGCGCATCACTTGGGTACACAATCCGATCAGACCGAGAATAAGACTTAAATCAAACCATCCTGAGTCTCGTTAGCTCATGGACCCTGAAAGTCCCATTTCCCTCGCGTGGCAGAGCTCGTTAGTTTGAGTCTCAGCTATCCTAATAGACGCATTTCTGCCAAACAGAAGTATGTGCTTTAAGACATGAGCCCTGAGACCCATTAGAATATATGCATTACAGGGCTCACTTCGTAATGCACATAGTTCCGTTTGGCAGAAATACGTTCAAATGATGGTCCAAGCTAATGGTTTTATAGCAGGAAAATAGGGGCAGCGCCGGTTAACGGCTGTATCTGCAAGAATCACAGCGTCAGGGCCAGTGACATAGTCAAGTGTTCTTAATTATTGTGGTTTTCTATTCCTGAAACTTAATTGCCCCCTTAAATCAACCGTTTTCTTCGCCATAATTAAGTCTCCTCGCGCAATGGGAAATATTATTTTTGCAGCGAGTCACCGTTCGGTCCAGCTCGAAACAATTGCCGACCTTTACGATAGTTTCTGCACTTAGTCGGCTCTCTCACTGCCCCGAATGAATTTATGAATCCAGTTGTGATTGTCATGATTTAAGATTTAATTTCTTACTCTCCCTTCTCTCACCTTGGCGGAGCTTTTGACGCTTGCTAAATCAAGCCGCTACGAATTTTCGTTATTATGTAGGTTAGCATGTTGTTTTATTTCGCTCGTTTACAATCTCCTCGCAGTTTGACACGAAAGCAGACCCTACCACTGTGTCAAAGGAAATTCCCCGCAAATTGTTTCAAAATTCTCTGTAGCTCTGCAAACGAACGACCCATCGATTGACTCAAAATTCGAAAATAATTTCCCGCGCACAGAAAAAAACAACAGTGAGAGAAATCATAGGAGCCATAACTTTACAACTAGTGTATTCTCTCTTAGACCTAAGGTGTTATGCAACAAACTCGTATTCTCGTGTAAAGATGCTCATTCAGCCGGTAGTTACCTCTCATATTCGACATGGCCGGCGGTGTTCTTGTTGTTGCTGATAATTAGCGAATCCTAACTAGGTACTTAATTGACGCACCGGATTCCTCTGACGTCCAAAACACCCTCCGGTGTGGATCCTCGCAAATAATGAGGGTGAAACTTCCCGCCTTGAGTGTTGAGTGTCAATTTTACCATCAGACAAGGAGAGCAGTCAAAAATGATTATGTCATGTGAGAAAGAGGAGTTCATCGTTGTTCTACAATCCAAACTTTTCCCTATGTTCCTGGACGTGAACATGAATCCTTCACAAAATTTAGAGCTCTCGTTTTGAATGTATCGTCGCCGCTCTGACTTAAGAGCATATCTTAATTTCCTCGAGAGCCCTGTTTTACATATCAATTCATGCTTTCTGGAGATCTTGCGGAAATAGAGATACGCCCTTACGGCGGAGGAGCGACGATACGTCCAATCAGTGACTTTTTGGACGCATGTCTCTCACTGAGCTAAAAATACTCCAAATGAAGCAAAGTTAATGTGACGGGAACTTTGAAAGCGGAAAAAGGTGACATCAATAAAAGTAGAGTGCACCCTGTACCACGTACCACATGCAAAGCCCCTGATGCAGCCTTAAATTTTTAGGAAAACTTTTGATAGCTACCGTAAAATGTGACCACTAAATTGAGGCACTGACCAAAGAGATCCATGCCCACCCTAAGTACCGCGAATTGATGTCTGTAGAAAAAAAAAACAAGCTTCTATCTGATTCTGAAGTTCCATGACCTATTTTCCCTTTTCGAAGGAAACCACCAAAAAATACCTCTTGAAATTTTCTGCGGCATTTCTTTCCCCAATGACATTTGCCGAAAATTCCGGAGAGATATTTTTTTCTTAGTTTCCTTTTCAGAGAAAAATGAGCCGTCGGAATTGTCACGCATCAACCGTTAAGCCTATTTTCAATCCCGGTCGGCTCCAGTAGGAAGCCGCGACGCGCCGGGCGCAATCAGCGATCAGGCCCCAAAATCACCTGATCGCGATCAGCGCGGCCGATAGCTGGAGCGCGCCTGACCCTGAGCGAGGCGGGGGCAGGGGCAGGGGCGCCGGGGCGCGCGGTGACAAAGGCGTCGCGACGCCCGACGCGGCTGACGCAACGCTCGGCGGCAACGGGAGCATTTCCTGGTGCGCGGCGCGAGACTCGGAGGCGCCGAGCCGCGCCGGGCGGATATGCAACTCTCACGGCTCTTTTGGACCAAAACAAACCGCGATGCGCTCCCGGGGCCTTGACTCACTTTGAGAGTGATCTAGACCCAGTTTCGGCCCCCGCCACCGCGGCTGCCGCGCCGCTCCCAGAGGTCGCTACCATTCTTCGCGCTCCTGCGTCGCGCCGCTCCGAGCCTCCGTTTTCCGCGCCGATGTCACATGCGCCGCACAGTGGATCAAATCAATAGAAGAGGTCGGACAAAGCTAAACAGCGTCGGAGCAAATTTGGAAACTTTGAAAGCTTATGACTCCGTTCATACCCAACTTTGAGGTCTTAAAAGTGGTTCCATTGGTTTTTTTGTGAAATTTTCGTTCAGGCACACCCCTTATAGTTTAAAATTTGACGAAATAAACACTAAAATTCTCATTTTTGGTCAAAAATTTCATGTCCGACTTCCCTAATTGACTCGATCCACTGTGCGGCGCTCAGTGGAAAGAATCAACTGATATCATAGTCGAGTCGGATATAATATTTTTGAATGAGCCTGCAAATTTTTATGTTCATTTTGTCACATCATAAGTCTTGAGGGATGTTTTTAAAGATGACTTATTCGAGGAAACCACTGGACTCACTTTTAAACATTTACGTTTACTAACGACGATATGAGCTATTGAAGTTTCCATATTTTGTCCTACTTCTCCGGCCGATTCGTTCCATTGTAAGACGGCGGCCCTCGAGCTTTACCTCCGCCGCAAATTCCGTTCTGAAATCGGTGCTCCCCAGTCGAAGGAGCGTAACTCCATTTCTGGGTAGCAAAATTGACTGAAAACTTTAATTTTTTACAAAAATGTGCCTGTGCAATTTTTTCACAAAATGTTTCTAATTTTTGCATTAGATCAGGGTAAAAATCAGTGAAATTTTCAGTTGAAAATGCCCAAGATTTTCTTGATGAAAAACGCAATTTCGGATGGGAAATTTTGTAACGTTGAAACTAAGTAACGTCCTTTCGTGAAAAAAAACGGAAAAATGGGCGATAATCCTTAAGCTTTTCGCGTTCAGTTTTTGATTTCAGAAAATGGTCGATTTCCTCACAAATCTTCATAGCTTCGGAATCGCCCATAAATTAAAAGTCGAGCTGTTAAAATACATATACATATGCAATATCTCTACATCGAGAATGGTGTGAAACTCCGTATTCAAAAAAATGCAGGCCGAAAAACCGGAGCGGGCTCTCGCCGACGGTGACAGTTACGAGTGGACGCCCGGCTTAATGACGAGACAACACTCGGAGGGTGGGCGTAATGACCGGGGGTGAAGAGGGTTGGTCGAAAGGGGTTGAAGTGCGTGAAACGGCACCGAGTGTGGGCCAGGCCGCGGTGTTGACTGGCGGGCCGCAGTGCGGGATGCAACAAGTGTTTTGAATTAAAGGCGGAAGGCCCGACATCAGGGCTCATCCATCAAAAACACTTCCCAACTTGTCATAAAATATAGAGTACTTTATCGTGTCGACATTCGTATGAATGTAATAAATATATTTCCTCTCGTCGCCCGCTCTCGAATGCAGGACCCGCCCGCCCTACTCGTCGTACGTGACGCTAGAATCTGGATCGCGCCCTAGAGAGTGCTACTGGATAATTTTCTTCGTCAATTTTCTATAAAATATAGTAGCAATCTATAATATTGTAAAATTTGCACAGTCAATGATGTTTCTTGACGCGAAAGAGAAGAGTAGCAAAGTTTGAGCCGAGTAGGCTTGAGCCGTAGCAAAGTTTGTAAGGTACCGAGCAAATTCATGGGTACGGCGCGCCTTCATTATTCTAGCTATACTACAAAGTATCCTGAGTGCAATTATAGTTGCCTATTCAGAAAACATATCAGTTCCGTTGTGCGCCCTCTTGATACTGGCAAAATACGTCTGATTCTAAGGGGGTACAGCAATGCTTCAAATTTTAATGCTTTTTCCACCACTCCTATGAACGATTTCTGTAAAAATATTTAAAAAATGTTTTGTTATGTGTTTCAGAACGGTTATCCAGCACGCCGCCGCTCATTGGTTGACGATGCTCGTTTCGAATCACTCGTGGTAAAGCAAACTAAGCAAAGTGTCTTGGAAGAGGCGAGACAGCGATCAAACGGTAAGTTTCCAAACTACGAGTATTTTCCTATTTTTCCTGATTAATGTGGTTCTGTTTCAAGTGCCATCACTGTGAGTAAACTCTTTTGAAAATCAAGAATGCTCACTTTTAAAACCAATTAAGATATTATTTTTTAAACAGCCTCAAAAAAGGCGACGTTTTATAACTAAGTATCAAATTAATTCATGGTGAAGCTGATTGTTTTTCAATTAAGTTACTTGTGTCCTTTCATTTTTGATCGTAAATGAATATATTTTTCATAAGCATAAAGAATATACCCATTGTACCTTTTTATTAAACTGAACCGCGATCTCTCGATCTGCAAACAGACATTCTCCCGTGTATAGAATTTGACGTAAACTTTATGGATGATCTGAATTTTTAAGATTACTGATAATCTCATCTACGAAATTAAGCAGAACCACGTTAATTTTCGAATGATTATTTTAAAGTTCCCGCAAACTTCAATGTTATTTATGCTAGTCATGATTGTTGAGTAGAGTTTTTTGTCCCGTACTTTAATTGATAAATGTGTGTACGTACTTTTTTTCTTTGATTTGCATGATTCAGAATTTTCAAGTTTATAAAAATAATTTCGCAACATTCAAAATTAGCTTTTACTTTGCGAAGAGCTAACAAACTTATTTGGTTGCATAAATGTGGCGGCAGATTCTTGTTAGGACCCATTTGAATCCGTCGATTTTAAAACTTATCAAGTCCATTCTCTGATGAGCTTTGAGCTTCATAAGAGCGCTTAAATTCTGAGGGTCACCAGATACGGGCATTGTTTGTTTTAACATTAAAAATTTAATTTGATCAGTGAAAATCGTAGGTAATAAGCCACTCCTTATTGTGCTGCCATTCCGGGCCTGCAGCTCCTGTGTATAGCACGGTTATTACAGGGCGCGGACAAAGGCTATAAAAAGTTGATTTTCTACTTTAAAGAGCGCGAAAAGCTCAGTTATGGCCTTTTACGACTTTCCTTATACGATTGATGCGTGTAGAATCATGTGTGGAGCCTGCGTAGTGAGTGCACCACCGTCGCCTAATTTATTCTAAAATGCACCCGTTTAATGATAGTTTTCCCAGATTTTAGGAAAATCTCTTAAAATGGCAATATCGCATCGCGGTTACAAATGTGCTTGCCTTTTAAAAATATGGTCTAGGAAAAATATACTTGTTCTGATTAGGTGTTTAAATATTTTGTTGTTTTTCCCTTTTCTATAATTTCTTTAGATTTTTCACTAAGTTTTTTTTATGTAGAACTGCACGACAGCATGTTAAATGTTTTCTGTTTTATGTTCTTTCCTCCAGAATCATTCACAGATGTGTCCGCAGTCCCAGTCATGGCTGCACAGACCATTCAAATAACAGGTTGGTATTCATTTAATTATGTCTCACTACACCCCCATTGAACGACAAGAGAGTAGTAAATTCGGGATGGACTTCCTTCGATTCTTGAAAAATTGGACGTATTTCTACCAAACAGACCTATGTGAAGATGAGAAATATGGGGTGTGCCCGTTAGTTCTCTGGCCGTAAGAGTGAATGAGAATAATAAAGCGCCAGTGACGTCAGTGGCAACGAACGAGCGTAAGCTCGAGGGCGCGGCAGCAAGGAGATCGTCGCGTCGTCGGGGGACTTTAACTCATGAGCCCTGTTCACAACGCTCTCTTGCCATGCCCGCGGCTCATGAGTTCCGCATTCAGTTGCCACATAGGTCTGTTTGATAGAATGTAAAACCCCGCTTTTCCAATTCTTCAAAAGGAATCACGCCCACTTTTACATTGCTTCTTATGCAGCTTCGACGAGCACACCCCATATTTCTCACCTCCACATAGGTCTGTTTGGTAGAAATACGTCCAATTAGTTGCCTTCTTTGAGGAATGGTATAATTTCTTCATTTTTCCCCCATCATTTCTTATTATCTCATGAGGTTAATGACACGACCGAGTTGCAGATGGGCCAGCACTTTCATGTTAGGCTCCCTTACTTTTTCTCAAAACCGACTGAAAATTTTCCAAATCTGCCATATTAAGCAATTTTTCAGTCAGTGCTTGTTTGTTTTCTGATGAGGTTAATGGCATTCTGTTTCCATGTAAGGCTAATCCTCCAACACGTTTTTTTAGATTCTCTCGTAATATTCCTCTCCATTCGCAAAAAATTAACGTTTCTTCTTTTCACTGCGTGAACATTTACTTGGCCAAACTGTCCCTCGGTTCTAACTAAATTTTATTTTAATTTGCCCACCAACAAACATATCAAGATGGAAGCAAAATAAAAATTAGATCGGAATCAGCTGCAAAATATGTACAGCTTCAGAGAAACTTGTTTAAGGGTGTTGCCTGTTGCTTTGTGGCGTGCCTCTCAGTGCTAAATTTAAAACATGACAATAGTCAAAAATGCGGGAAAACAGGAAATTGCGCTAAAATTAGCCTTAAATCCCTGTCCTAATCCTGCAAAGACTTGGCCTTGTCCTGTCTGCTGTTTTTACAACCAAGGCTCATTTCCATTTCGTTATTTTTCAATTTTTAAAAATCAATTTTTCCCCTTGGTTACCTTTATTTTCTTTTATATTTTTACTTTCGTGACGGAGCAGGTAAAATTTTTCCTCTCAATGCAAGAAAAAAGAAATTAAGTGAGTATCCTACAGCTTAGAGAGATAATTTTGCATCAGTCAGCGCCAAAAAGCGCAAAAAACGCCTAAAAATTCCTAAAATTTTCCCTCTGTCAGCAATTCAGAGTTTGAGGGCGAAAAATTGAGATTTCAAGGAAAACGTTGTCATTGCCACCTCTCGAAATGGTGAAACGCTCATGGCATCATCAAAAGTACGAATTACGGCTTAAAATTTTACAAAATTTTCTTGAAGATAATGGAAAGTGTTAAATATCAAAGCAATCTATACTTTTGACCCCAAACCGGTTTTTTCACTGTATAGATACTAAACAATGTGAGTTTCCACGTTGAAACGTATTTTACCTGCTTCTACCGCTTTTTCGTTTTATTTTTTCTCCCGTTGATTTTTCATTGATTATTATTTTGCTCGTTTTATTTTGGAAATTAGAAGAACCAAAAATTGTTGAACCTGTTGTCGAACCAGTCCCGGAACCCGTCAAGGAATCTGAGCCGGAACCAGAGCCAAAACAAGAGTCTGTCACGGAAGAATCTCCAGAGGAATCAGGTGGGCAATTTTTTCTCTACATTTCCTCTCATATCAAGAAAATCCAACACTCGTAATAACTTAAGTACAAACGCCCAGTTTCAAATTCATCGAGCCATGTCCCATCAATACCAAAGAAAAAAAATAAAAAATATTTAATGGATGTACCGTTGGTAATCAATCACACGAATCGGGAGGGAACAGTTTTGTTGAAATTAGCAGCCAAAGACCTGAGATGGACTCATAAAAACATTTAGTCGCGTAAAAAACGGAGGAAAATGGCCTTGGCTGAAAGGAGCCTTGATATCCTCCTCACAAGCTGCCAGAAATTATATTCATTAAAAATGCGACGATCCGTGAGTTTTACAGATACCTCGAAGCGATTTCAGCCTACGTTCTTATTTCAGAAAAAAATTAAGCCGACGCGTTAAGTGTGGACACGTTTTTTGTTTCACAAAGAACACACCCTCTGCTCGCGGCGATAGTTCGGCTTTCCTTCTTCTTTCTCTTCGTATATTTCCGAACAATGATCGTAACTTATCTCCGAGTGAAATCTGAAAGGAGGAATTTCCCACACCCTTGTAGTATTCTTTCTATTTAACAGCAGCAAAAACTTTTGAAATAAATTATTGCAGAGATTGATCATTTACTTTTTTAAATAAAAAAAAAATAGAAATAAAATGAAATATTTTTACATCCACGCCCTCATTATAATCATTCTTTAAATAATAAAATGAGAGAAAGTATTAATTATGGCTCGGTGACTTTGACTGTGGGGAAAACCCCTTCATTTTAAGTGCATGCAACATAGACTACTTACTCGCTGTTCTATTCTCTGTTCATTGTTAGAATGCTGTCTGCGTAGTTATCTTTGTTTTGTTGTGCTCTTTCAAGGAATCTTACGATCCTGGTAAATGTTTTACCCAAAGGAGCAGGAGGAAAACTTTTGAAACACTGTAAAAAATGCCACTGCTTTGAAAAGTTCAAATACCCGTAAACAGCATGACTAATAGTTGAACGCCTTATTCTTCTTCGATTTAAAATAATTATGTATTTCCCTTAGGTTCTTATGAGCCCTAAACCTGATTATTTTACGGAACTAGATTAGTTATATTTTTTACCCAGAGATTAACAATTTCACTGTCAATGTGAAAGGATGTACAATCGAGGATACGAGAAAATGTGAACGGGGACTAAGGGAACGGTGGCAGGAAAGTGAGAAAGAAAACGATGTGAGATAATAGAACGGGATGGCACAGAGGGAGAGGAATAATTCGAGATAGCGCAATTTTCTTCAGGCAAGATGGATTCAAAATCTGTGCAGAACCTTTCAGTGGGAAAAACAAAGAGGAGGCAGGTGCTACGTCTTTAACTGGAGGAAATTGCTCCTCAGGAATACTTTTGCAGTCGGCCCTTTGCATGGACGGCAGCACCTTGTTGCCGTCCAATCCTTTGAGAGCTCCCCAATTTTATTCTCCAAAGTGTTGCCTAACTTTTTTTTTACGAAGGGCATTATTGAAGTTAAATATCAAATTTTTGCCCGTGACTCGGTACCAAATTTTTAGAGTGATAGACGGATCAAGTGACATTGAAGCCCTTTTTGACGAACTTTATTTGGGCTCAGAGGAGACCAGACTCATTTCTTCCAAAACTAACTCTCTGTTAAAATAAAACACAAAATCTCAACAAATTATTCACATTTTTCTACGCATAATAATGAGATTCCTACCGTAAAAAAAATTCGTTAAAACTCACTTTAATTACGGTTTTTAAATTTTCATGAGAGGAATAAACGATTAGTCTAATCTGAGATTTTTGCAAAAACAATTTTCGTGAGTTGAGAAAAAAATTAAAAGTTTAAAATGTAATTTCGATCAAATTGCGTGGAAAAATTCAAATTAAAGTATTTGGGCTTAAATACTCTTTATGCTTAGGACTCTCGTGCTCCATAGTTCCTGTTGATCTAAATAATTCGCTTATAATTCCCTCAACTATGAGAACGCCCAACTAGGAGTCTACGCCGTCAAAATCCGAGACACACGTTTTTGAGCTTTCATCTGAAATGCAAGAGTATAGCTTCCTCACAGTGGCAACCGGGTTTTAAGGGCCGAAGTATGGGGTGGTGAGAAAGGGAAAGGAGGGAGGGGTGTTATGTTGAGCTCCATTATGAGCACCATTCCCATCCAAGCTCTGCAGCGTTGGCTTTTGCCTGGGCAGCTTTCGGCTGATAATTCAAAGGAAGTGGTTTACCGACGTCCGCCTCCACGGCTATGACGTGCTACCGTCACGTCCCCACGTCCGACTCATAACTTGGCCGCGCGCGATTTCCCGCCCGCTAACAGAATTTTCGTTTTAAAATGCAACCGATGGGTCCTCTCGCCACCGGTTGCTCCACTTGTTACGCCATTGCTGCCGTGCTAAGGAAGAACGCCGTATGAACATTCGAGAGTTGCCAAATTTCCTTTGATAAAATTTTTATTTATGAGGAAAATTATGAATATTCTTCCTTGAAATTGTCAGAAGTTTTAGATCAAATTACAAACAAAATTGTCTGAGAAATTAGTAGACAAATATTCAAAAATTTTCCTGTAAATTGAATATTTGCCGGGAGAAATGTGGCAACGCCTGAAGGCTCATACGGCGTTCTTCCTTAGCACGGCAGATTGCGTCACCGTAAGCTCTGCCCCAGGCATGACTCTGTCCTTATAGCGCGCTTTCAATCTTGAAGAAGTTTTCCATGCGAACTTCTGATTCCAATTTTTCAACCCCACTTGACAAAAATCTCTCCACCAAAAATTTTGCCTCCATAGACTATGGATCTTTTCCTCACGGCCAGCAAAGTTTAGTAATTTTTTATATTGTGTCACCTGTCTCCTCTCTGTTCCTTTGCGGAAGCTATCTCGACACAGGCAATCAGAAAAACGCGGCGTACAAATGAAATAATTGATTGAAAAAATCTCAGACTAAGGATAGTGTATGAAGGCATAAAAAATCGGTTATGGCAACGGGCAGAAACAGCAGATCGGCAGAATTTTTTTTATTGTAGTCTCATTTTTTAGTTGGCATTCAGTGAGCTAATCGATTATTCGAAGAGTGTATCGATTTATTCTTATTTGAAGCATTTGATGCTTCTCATTTGAATTGTATAATCGATGTCTTTCGAGATGTAGCTCTGAATTGATGGGTTTGGAGTAAAAGCCGCATAAGTGCAGTTCTTGAAAAAATTGAGATATTAATGATTTCAAGTAAAACTAGTCTTAATGCATATTCCGCGAAAAATTAGTTCCCAAATTCCAATTTTTAAGAATCAAAAAGTCAGTTTGAACTTTCTTTCCGCCATGCGGCTCCATGTACTTTCGAAACTTCCAACAAGTATTTCTTGAAATAGCAAAAACTGAACTTATGCGCCTTCTTTTCCAAGCCCCTCGGTTGGTCTGTGCCTATTTATGTGAGGTCGGAAACCGGAAGTACAGAAGGGTAGGAAACCAGAGAGGATAACGTTGTAGCGCGTTACGGTTGCTCATGGAAACTATTGAATTTAACGCCATTATCTTGAACTTGGTCAATTAAACTGCAGCGACCTCGAGCGAGTCTATCGACGCGCGCCCTTCAGCGCGTTTAGAGCGGGCAGAAGAAAAAATTAGATTGGATACATAGGACTCATGCATTGAATTTGTGTTGATTGACAGACGCCGGCCTGACGGAAGAGGAGGTCATTCTCTTGAACGCTGCGAGTGAGAGTAAGGAAGCTGAAAATGCTATTCAAAGAGCCGCCCTTGTTCTGCACATGCGCGAGGGAATGGGCTCCATGGCCAGAGTCCTCAAGACGATCGAAGTAAGTAATTTTCAGATAAACACACGTTTCAGAGGATTTAATTCTCGCAGGAATCTCGAGGAGCTCAGAAAACTCGTCCGAGGAAACCTTCAAGCCGGCCTGATCGCATGACCTCCTAATTAGGTCACGCATCCATCCGTCGGCTTTTATGCTTGCTCATGGAAAAAATTCAGTCGTTGGGCACACCATGTGCATACAAGAAAAACGACAGCTAAATTTCTCGTAAATTTTCCGATTTTTACGTCTTTTAAGGTCTTCAAACATTTATTTTTTCATGATGGGGTATGATTTAAATCTCAGCGCAATACATATACAAAACGACTGCCTTTACTTTAAAACTCAAGGTTCTCTCCGATTACTAGCAAGATACATTTAATTGCCAGTTACTATTTTGCGCATAAGTTTGACTTAATCCGACGTTTTAAAATTGATGGTTTTTCCACCTATCACAATTTCTCCGTCTGTCTGCGAATTTTCTTTCTCGCAGAAAATGTAAATTAATAAAGCGATGATTGAATCAAAACAGATTTTTTAAGATATTATCTTTTACTTCTCTCTCCATTGAATCGATTGAGTAGTACCACAGGTGCGAGTAGGCACTATAAAGTTTCACAAACTTCATGAGGCTAATGAGGATTTTTTTCAATTTTTTTCAACAGAACTTCAAGGGAACCGTCGTACACATGGAATCACGCCCATCGAAGTCCGACGGTATCCAGTTTGACATCTTGGTCAAAGTGGACATGTCCCGACGAGACCTCCTGAACCTCATTCGCACCCTCCGCCAGTCCGCCTCCCTCGGTGGTGTCAACCTCCTCACCGAAAACAAAGTTAGCGTAAAAGGTGAGTAAAAAGTCGCGATTATAATCTTTGAATTTTCTATAAATGAGATCCTGGAAAAGCTCATCCCAATTCATAAGCCCTGGATAGACTGGATCAAATTCCGAACCAATTCCGATCAAAGTAGACATGCTGATGACTGGTGGTCACCATCGACCATCAAATTTTGACGGGCTGCACTTTTTTGTTCAAAGTAAGATCAGAACGGAGTGCCACCATTCATCATTTCCTGCCACAGGAAACATTTCTGCCAAGTTTTCATTTATAAATGAAGCAAATTAATGAGTTTGAGACTGATGACTCCCGACACTTTGATGCTACTTTGATCGGAATTGGTTCGGGAATTTGATCGTCTATGCAGGGCTTTAAGATCTTGACGTCCACTTTTCGGGGCAAAACTGTGTGGGGTCTTTAAGCATGGGGTCTTAAGTGTGGTCGAACGATGAATGAAAGTTCTGCATAGGGAAATAATCGATTACGTAATACACGGTATCCACTCTTGCGAGTATGCACCGTTTGGCCCGCGCTGAAGTTGATCAGGGCGTGTGCTGCGCGATGTAATTGAAAGGATGAAGAGTGAAGGTTGTCAAAGAAGCGGAAAGAGTGCAATTAAAGTGGGATTACAGGCACGAACCACGGCGAATAAGACCAGATATGAATTCAAGAGGCATTTTGTTTTCGTCGCAGACGACGGAGTCATCCTCCGCCGCACAGTGTATCAAGACAATAGAAGGGATCGGACAAAATTTTAAGACTTTAAACGCTTATAACTCCGTTTATACACAACTTTGAGGTTCTAAAAGTGGTTTTATTGGTTTTCTCGTAAAGTTTCCCTCTAGTTGCACCCCTTAAAATTTTAAATGTGACGATTTAAACATCAAAATTTGCGGTTTTAGTTACAAATTTCCTGTCCGATCTCTCTAATTGACTCGATCCACTGTGCGCCGTTGCTTCGTTAATTGTGCCGTTATTTCATCCGCGATTAGCGTTTTCCGATGAGGTCTCATCTTTTCCCCCGGCTCCTTGTCCAAATAAACCCTTGTTCTGCCGTGCTAAGGAGGAACGCCGTATGAGCATTCGAAAGTTGCCAAATTTCCTTCAATAAAATGTTTATTTTTGAGAAAAGTTATGAATATTTTTCCTCGAAATGTTCAGGAACTTTAGATGAACTTGCAAGCAACATTATCTGAAAGAGTGGAAGAAAATATTTATGAGTTTACCAGGAAATTCGTGTTTTATAAATGGGAATTTGGCAACGCTTGAAGGTTAGGTTAGGTTAGGTTAGATTGGAATTTGGGAGCGAATTTTTCAGAGATATGCATTGCGGACTAGTTTTACTTGAAATCATGAATATCTCAATTTTTTAAAAAAAAATGCACTTATGCGCCTTGTCCGCCAAGCCCCTCAATTTCAAAAAGAGGCGATTCTTGCAATTCGGCAACAGTGGGCATTCGTTCGGGGGGTTGACATCCCATTTGATGTATGTAAAACAATCGATATTTTTTGAGGTGCAAGCTAAATTGATAATCGATTGTACTTGGACGTGTTTATGCTAAAAGGACCTATGTTACATGCGAATCCTACGCACATATACTTTTCAGCATAAACACGTTCATTTGAGCTTTTTGAATTGTATACATGCTCATCGAGAATAATGTGCTGGAATATTTTTAGATCATTTCAGGTAATGCTCTATCACCTGGAGTTAAATTAAAACTGTCCGTTGTTCAATATGTCTTCTTTTCTCCTTGTGCAGACCCATGGTTCCCCCGACACGCTCGCGATTTGGACAACTGCAACCACTTGATGACCAAATACGAACCCGAATTAGACATGAACCACCCAGGATTCTCTGACCCAGTGTACCGCCAGCGCAGGAAGGAAATCGCCAACATTGCTTTCGAATACAAATAGTGAGTATTAAGTACCTTTATGAAGCTGTCATCCTGATACATCCCTCATCCGCAAAAAATTCCTTTTGAAAGAAGCAATTCAACATAAAAAGGAAAGTTTAAAATGAAGAACTTGCACGCAAAAATTGTTTCATGCAAAATTTCATGGTGCCCTTATGTGATTCAGTTCAATGGTAGCTCTTTTATAGATGATGCTTAACACATGTTGGTTACTTGCAATCTCCTCATTGCCTTTAAGAGGTATAAATACTATCTTGCCGGAAAACACTAAGGGAAAATTGGGCAGTTAATATCACAATTTTTATTCATTCCAAATGAAAGCTAGTATGCAGAAGTCTTTCTCCCTCATTTTTTCCTCAAATCTAAACCATATTTTGCGAATCTTTGATAGAAGAAAGAAAAAGAGGAGGTGCTTTAATTTTAAATTCTGTACCAACCCAATACAACAGCTACAAAAACTGCTGAATGACAAAAGTAATATCGATAACCTAGCCAACAATATTGCTATTATTCGCGGCGAGGAGCTCAAAACGCCTTCATTTTTAAACGATACAAAATCTGCAGCTTCTGTGTTATTTGCGTCGGAGCTCATTGAACGTTATTTAACAAGGCACTTTTTCTGTCAAGTTTCCCACAATAATATTGTACCTTAAATTACTTGTTCAATACCTATTGATGTTAGCCTACAAACTCTGATTTGGAAGTAGATAATTTCAAGAGCTCCTCTCTAAATGTATTCAATCGTTTTGCTTACAGCGGAGACCCAATCCCTGTCATCGATTACGCTGAAACCGAAGTTCAGACTTGGGGAGCCGTATTCAAGAGGGTTCTTGAACTGATGCCCCAGCACTTCTGTGCCGAATACCGCAAGGTCTTTGCCATGCTCCAGGAAGAAGGCATCTTCCGCGAAGACAAGATCCCTCAACTCGAAGAAATGTCCGCTTTCCTTAACAGTAAGTTTATTTTTCTGCATTTTTTTATTGGTAGCGTGGCGTGAATGATCGATTATCGACATTCCCCCATTTGAAGGTATGTTCGTTGCGAACAATCGGTACATCGATCTTTTTCCATAGGTTTAAGACAGATCAATCGACATGAGGCAAAGCACGCCATGCTAATGTTTTTCATCATTCCTAAGTTCCTTTTACCTACATTCCGACTTTACAAAGTAAAATCAACGATGAATTCACGAAATCACACAACATCGTAAACATTTCCTGAAATTTTCATTAAGAGCTTTACCTTAAGAACATGCAGAATGAAACGGCACTCAGTTAGTTGCATAATCTATTGCATGCCCTAACGTGACCACGTGGAGAAATACCTTTCATTATAGACTGATATCCCATAGAAATCTAGTTTACATAGTTGGAAGATGAAGTTCCTTACACCTATTTTTTTGTTAACAGAACATACTGGTTTCACCCTGCGTCCAGCTGCTGGTCTTCTCACTGCTCGAGACTTCCTCGCCAGTTTGGCATTCCGTGTTTTCCAGAGCACACAATACGTGCGTCACGTGAAAACCCCATTCCACACCGTAGAACCGTAAGTTCCCTCTTTACTATATTTTTACGATGGTTCGCAAATCAGCAGAGCTGATTTTTAATCCACCTAAATGTGTGTTGTATTCACCTAAACTCACACTCAACAACTATGAGCAGAAAAAGTCATTCTTGCACCATCTGCGCGGAACAGTTCGCTGGCAACTCTTCTGTGCACGAAAAAACCAAAGCGCCTTCAGTTTTTTGCATATGCAACACAGGCATCCTTCGAGCAGGAATAGTTGTATTCAAGGGCTCATATTAAAGGCACTGCATCCATCGGTCGATCTGCCAACTAAGGATACCTGGCTGAAGTTGCATCTGTAAATACGATGCTGAAGTGCCTCTCGAGACAACCAAGTTCAAGAGTTGGTTAATTTTTCAAAGCGCTTTAAAGAAAACGTTTAGATATTGAAACATTTGATCGCATACGCTCTACTACTCACGGGGTATACCATCAGGGACGTGTGTGATCAAAGTCGAGAGACCGTATTAAAAATTGTGTCAGTCAAAAGGCGGGGCAGGGGGGAGAAAAATAGGGGATGAGAGAGGTTATGAATGATTTGACAATCCGCTACGGCTCGTCGGACGGGGAGGGGGAGGGAGTCAATTATCGGGAGGTTACAAAGACCGAGGCGGCTAAGAGGATAAAAGTGGCTGAGGAAATAAGTCTCAGATCTAGCTCTGAACGCGGCTCACTTCCGTTTCCTCCGAAGCGGGGAGCAGGGTCTCCCTCGGGGTCCTGCCCCCCCCTCCCCCTCCCCCCGCCCTACGCCGCTACGATTTTCAGCGATTACCTCAATGAGCGGTGAAAATGTCTCGACTCGATTCCCGTGGCTTTTAGCCTCCGCCGCCTCCAGCCCTCTGGATTACAGCGCCCCCTCCCCCCGCCTTTTAACCCTGTTGACATTCCATGCGTCGCGCATCTTTACTCTTCTCCTTTCCGCAACCACACTCTCGTATCGACTTTGCTTTCCCATTTTTTCCCCGACTCTCCAATTTCACTTCATGTGCAATTTTACATCGGTAAGAGTGGAAAGAGCTCGAAGTGCCCGTAAGTCTTGGTGGAGTAAAAATTGGAAAGAAAATTTTAATCATTTTCAAAAACTCGCGTATCTTAACTCCGAACTTTCCGCTTCATGCGTAATTCGAAAGGTATTCGGAAAGTATGGAACTCAATCCGAGACGTTGCAGGTTTCTTGTATTATTAAACTTTTCTCGAGAAATCACGAAGTAACAGTATCTCTTTAACTTTTTATTCACCTTCCATAGAATTCTCAAATTAAAAAAAAAGTCACACATTCCTGCAAAAACTTTCGCCCTTTATACAATGCAATTGTATTCCAGCTCAATATTTTCGCACCAAAAATTTAGAGGAAGAGCTCTCGTTCCGTATTCTGTATATCGTTCTGTTCTGTCCCCTCAATACGCGAAAATATTTTGAGCTAACTCATAATTTTTGAAACAAAACGAGACAAAGTAAATTCACAAAATTGGCAGTTTCCAATGCGGCTGGATTACTTCCATGCGGAATTTGCTCTAGCAAGGGGGTTAAGGCTTTCACATCAACCATTGACTTGCATTCAATTGTGAAGAAATAAGCGTCGCATTCCGAGGAACAATTAAACACACAAATGACGGTTCTACGAAAATTTGAACAAGGGCCGATGAGGAAAATATCACCGAGGGTCTAGCTATACAACCCCCTTTAAAAAATTAATTGCGAGCGGCTCATTGTAGGCGGAGAGGGGTAATAGGTACTTCTGGGAGAGGAAATTTGATAGAAACTTATATCATCAAGCCTGAGATAGAAAAGGGGGGTATTTTGGAGCGACGGAAGTGTGCTGCCCCCTTTCGCGGGGCGTCGCTCACGACAGCCCTTCCGTCAGATTCATTAAAAGGGCGTTAAGTGAATAGAGTGAGAACAAAGCTAAGTGTCTCTTTTCTGCCCCGGCCGTGTAATCGAATTATTCGTCATTTCTCGACGAGTATCGCTGCGATCCAGAAGTAATATCGCAAGGGTCTCCTCTTACACATTCCATGATGATATTTCCCATCCCTTATGATTTTACACGCCCACGAGTTCGTCGATGAAATTGCGCTTTCAATCGGGGGATGGAAAAAAAATTGTCGGTCATTTAAGTAGGCACAGTTTGACCTAAGCAATTTCTTTTTTCGAGAAAAAGTACACTACATTGCAGTGTGAAATAATAATTGTCGATCGATATTTAAAACGTACTATTTAATTTAAATTTTAAGAAATAAAAATGACAAAAAATGTTTCTGTTTCAGTGACTGCATTCACGAGCTCCTTGGTCACATGCCTCTGCTAGCTGACCCCGCCTTCGCTCAATTCTCGCAAGAAATTGGGTTGGCCTCCCTTGGAGCTTCCGATGCTGAAATCGAAAAATTATCCACGGTAAGTAAATATCACAGTTGTTTCAATTTACAAATTCCAAAAATTAGATCCGTAATTAATTAAACTCTCAATAAAGGGAAAATAATCACCGAACAAAGTGCATCATTAAAATCATTTTGTAAAAATTATTCTAAGTATGATTCCTTTCGTTGATTTAAATATGTTCTCTCTGTAGCAGCCCAACTTTGAATTTTTAACAATGATTGCTCGTAAATGTTTGATTTGAGGAAGCAAGTCGGTGAGAAAGTGAAATTATGCGGATAACATGTAACGACTTTCAGCAAAATGTTGGCAAACCTTTCAATTTGAAGGCATCCTATACGATCATTCGATTTTTAATTTTTTGCTTTGCGGTCTTTTCCAGGTCTACTGGTTCACCGTTGAGTTCGGACTCTGCAAGGAAAACGGAAAGGTGAAGGCCTACGGAGCTGGACTGTTGTCTAGCTACGGAGAGCTCCTCCACGCTATCTCTGACAAGCCAGAACACCGACCCTTCGACCCTTCCACCACTGCTGTCCAACCCTACCAGGACCAGGAATACCAACCTATCTACTATGTCGCTGAAAGTTTCGAAGATGCAAAAGAAAAATTCAGGTGAGCATATAATTTTATCAACTCTGCACCTAGTTTGATGGATTGAAATTTAGGACGCCTACTTTTCGGCGGTTATGCAATTTAAGCTACTTGGACGTCGAAATAGTTGTATGTAGCTTTCGATGTAGATCTTTTGCGGATTGACAAAGTGGACAAGTTTGAGGAGTCACGGAAAGTGAATATTTTACTGAAGCCGACAAAATACGAAAATTAATCATTTTCTCGGAAATGTTTAGTGCCTTTACGATTTAAGAATGTAATTTTGAGTTCTTACGAGGGCTGGATTTTTCGCATGAAAGAAGACCCGTAAAGTAAATGGTGAAGCACACTCATTGTAACTATTAATACGATTTTAAAGGTGTGCTTTTAAACATTTACTCAGTACCACCGTATTGAATAGCCGGCAAGGCGAAGAGATAAGTTCAAAGAAAAAATCTCGAACAACCTTAGATACAAAAAGAGCATAGTATTTCATAGGAAAGAAAATGTAAGCGAAGTGATAAAATTCAAGTCTTTAAACCATGCAATATGAATTTTCCCCTGGACTAAATCCATCAAAAATACATAAATATCTATAAGGGCCGCTTTCATAATGCTCTCGGGCGCTCTGCGACGCCCAACCGCCACAGTGCCCTTTCCTCCCACAGCCCCCCCTCGGGGTTGCTACTCCCTCATTTCATTTAAAAGCACCCGTCACCACTCTTTCATTGCGCCATCAGAAGTGATTTGATAAAATATCGTACCGTTAAGAAATTGTATAAAATGCGACTAATCGGCCTGAATTATTCTTTTTTCCAGGAAATGGGTTTCAACAATGTCCCGACCATACGAAGTGCGATACAACCCCCACACCCAGCAAGTCGAAGTTTTGGACTCCGTAGACAGGCTAGACAACCTGATGTCTCAGCTGAACTTGGAAATGCTTCACTTAAACACAGCTCTCACCAAGCTGAAGGCTAGTTTCGCGTAGAGCAACCCATTGATACCTCCCCGATTATGCATCTTTACCCATCGATCGATTTCCTCCGTGCAACGAGTTTGTTACCGGAGTGAAAAACCGTCACAATGCTACATCGAAATTTTATCTTCCTGATACAAAATTAATGAGCGTCCATTCGTGGACAACTTTAATCGCCTCTCATTGTTGGGTAGGGCTGTATCTATTTCCTTCCCGAAAAGACTTCGAATGCTTAGAGATTTTATTGTAAAGATTCATTTGTTGAATGAATACTCGTTTCTTTTGCATCTCATTAAATTATATAGTAATTTTATTTTTTTGTGTATATAATGTGCTTTAAGTGATTTGTGTGACATACGAACGACGGGCGATTTGAAACTCTCGCGAAGTTTTTATCACGCCAACTGCGGAATCAATACGTTATAATTTCATTGTTTCTAGTGCTGTCGGGCACGCTTGTGTCCTGCCAGATTCTTAGTCTTGACATATGTGTACAGTATGTTAGCTGAGCGGAAATGATGTCTTTATAAAGAAGTTTTTGATGTACCTATTTTACTGCTTAGTTGTAGGTGCCTCTTGCCAACACGTTTAAAGCACACTAAACCTATGCCTATATTTAAAGTGATTACCTACGACAATGTTAGTTTTAGCTTGTTCGCTGTTCTTTCGTCTCCTATTAGATTAGAGTAGATAATCTATAATAGAAGCCCCCAAACTTTGTTCAAACAAAGTTGTTGAAATGAGAAAATTTAGTTTCTGATCCTTTTTTTTCGTTATTTTGTTTATTGTTTTTTTTATTATTCGCATTTAGATTCTCTTCAAAATCAAATAGTGCAATAAGCAATACTCATGACCTATTTTTCGTTCAAAGCTTAAAAAATTAACAAAAATATCCTGAATTAGTGAATGAAGAAGTTCCTCTGTTCGAGTTCAAATTGTGTTGGCAAACATTTAAAGCTGAAAGTGATATTATAATTTATTTGTGAATAATTACCTTTTAGATTATTTATTTATCTTAAGCATAATTTACTTTGTCTTGTTACCTAAGTTTGATTGAGTTTAAACTCTACTTTAAAACTAGCACATTGATATGACGTATCGTATGCATGCTTAAGACGTTAATGCATGCATACAATAGCACCTTGATTCTACCTATCTACTTATTTGCAAATGCGTGTACTTATTCACCGGATATTATATATTTTCTGGATTTAGATAATTACTCTGGTTAATATTACAACAGCTTAGTTCGCAATTGTGTATCAACATATTTTTGGTTTTATCTGTTTAAGTACGTGTGTCATTTGGAGTATGCACTGGCACACGTTTTACTTTAAATTATTGTCGACAAAAATTATATTGAAAAATATATGAGAATTTATTTATGATAAATCACGTCTACCATTTCTTTAGTCTAACAAAACACAAAACCTTCAAAAGCAACCTTCTTGCACCTGATACCTTTTAAAGAAAAAGTAGAGGCTGTGTCGGAAAAAAATTCTACACTTTTATTCGATGCAAAAGGAAAAGAGAAGTCCTCCTTCCGAGCGATGCCCGAAGAAGTATTGAAAATTAGATTTTCAGCCAATTTCATGTTCCTAAATAGTTAAATGAAAGGTACCTATATAGGTAGGAAAATGAAATTAAACATTTATGAGTTTCAATTCTTCGCTCCTGCATTCATTTCGATAAGAACCCCATAATTTGATCATCTTGACACTTAACTATTATACCAAGAGCATTTAATTTGATTTATATTCGAGATGCTTTTGTATCGTCGTGACAAAATACATACCCGGAAAAACTTGTAAGAAAACACATATACGCAACAGAAACTGCTCTCAACTTAGTAAGAGAGTTAAAGATATTAATCTACTTCTAATAAAATAGAGCCCCTGCACCCTGGTAAAAATTGGCGATAGGAGCTGCGTTTCAAAATACCATAGGAGTTCTTATAGCCGACTGAAGAAGGCAATAAAAAATCATATATCTGGCTGTAGAAAGTGGAAAAAATCATGAGGCCGGGCTACACGAAGCGATAAAAACTTATACAGCCGGGCTATTGTTCCCATCGCCGGGCTTTACACTTTATCGCCTGGCTGTTGCTTTTTCGCCATCGGCTATAAAAGGCTATAAGAAATTGTGTAGAAATTCGTGTGCTTTGTAAATCCTTAAGTTTGTACGGAATCACCTTAAATATTTACGAAACGCACATTATATTTTCCTTTGCTACATATTTATTTTCATCAATTAAAATTAGAATGATCTATACAGAGTGTGCAAACATTTCAAAGTCATGAGTTGAAAAACGCTGACTCCACGAGATTAAATACATATTAAAGCCTAACACAAAGCGGAGCGGCGCGGCGGCGCACTGGCGCCTACAAACCTAACAGGGAAACCTCACGCATTGCGTAATGCGTGAAGTATCCCTGTTAGGTTTGTAGGCGCCAATGCGCGTTTCGCGCTGGCTGTCCGCCCGCCGCGCCGCGCCGTAGCGTACACGGCGCTTGAAGCAACTATTTCACACCTGAGGTATTGCATAGTATCATACGAAATTGAAGACGTTCCAACATATTAGGAATGGCAGGCACCCTTTAAAAGCACGGAGCTTTCCTCGCAAAATAAATCAAGATACTACGGCCCAAAAAGAGAGCGGTAGTCCAAGAACTCACTAAGTCCTAGCATCCGTAATTAGTAACGTTTAGCATACACTTTATCGCCAGGCTGTTGCTTAGGTAATCGCCATCGGCTATAAAAGGCTATGAGAAATTGTGATGCCGGCTATAGAAGCCATTGGAAATCTTACAGCCGGCTGTAGGTCTATGGTATTTTGGAACACAGATTCTACTGTCAATTTTTACCAGGGCATGCGGCGGTATCTATGCCCATGTGTAGGTATTTATGGGCTGAGACAGGTGGGTTGATTAGAATGCATTTTGCAATAAGGAACCACTATCTTTGGCTTCTTTATAAAAGCACATATCTGCATAGGGAAACCAATGGCATATATGATGTTTCTAAAATGGTCCAGAAATAGTGGTTCCTTATTGCAAAATGTAATCCAGTTAGAATAGACCAGAATTAAACTGAAGACTGAACTCGTTTAAAAGAGCAGAAAAAGCTGTCAAAGTAACCCTAAGAGCCCGAGAGTATGATAAAATATGGGGTAAAAATAGATAAAATTGGAACCATTTTAGTGACGTTATCTTCCACTAAATTAAACGGAGACTGGTCAAAAAAAGCAGCATATCATAATGAATCAGGGGGATTTGAAACAAGGTACAATTTGAAATTAAAATTATCTCTTTATGATGAGATATATTGCAATTTTTTTTTAGACACAGCTAATTAATTATCTCTCCGATGCAAATTTATGATATGATAACGCACCGACTCTTATTGCGTGCGGTAGAGAAAGCCCTCAGACGATGAGTAATTGAGTATACTTTAAAACTACAAAACTCTTTTTCTCAAAGAATGTCTTTGACGATTTAGTCGCGAGGGAAAAGTAGAGATATTTTGAAGTTCTTATGTTGGTTCCCTTCCTCTCAAAAATAAAATACACGGGGAAATTTTGAAACATTGCAACCGAGATACGTGATCGTGAAGTTCAGCTACCGAGGATCCTTTTAAAGAGCACTCAGCCCATTTGTGATACCCATCTATTAAAAACTGAGATAGGTTGTCTAATGTTAATTGCCGCTACCTTTTCCAATTAGCCCTTCCCCTCGCCTCCGCGCACAGGCATAAACTGCACCCGCCAATAGCTATTAGAATATTATGATCCGAGAGTTGGCTGTTTACTTTTATATTTCATTAGCGATAACCGCAAGCTCACAGAAGCAATTGGATCGGTTACAAAATATTTTCAGCTTATTCTTTCTCCCGCCCCTCCTCCGCCCCTTTCTCCCGCCGCGTTACCTCCCCCGCCTTTTCACACTCGCGGCCTGGCATATCGTTCTATCCCTATCACTCCCCCCCTTTGCACGCGGTTGCCAACGTTCGGGAATTCTCGTGAATTACTTCCGTTGCGAATTGACCGGGAGAAATTCGTCATCTTATCTCCTGGCAACAACGTGCGGTGCTTTCTATAATCATTCGCGACGTTTTATGGGCTAAGCCAGTTTTTCTTCCGACCGTTTTCGTGGATTCATGTTCAACAGACTCTCGCTCAACAGTCAACAAATAACGCGGTTGTTAAGTGTTTACTTTTGGCGCTAGTGGAGGCTTTCCTTTTAGCTAAATGTTTTGCCGATTAATTTCGGGGGCATCATACATCGGCACCAGTTTCAACAAGTGAGGGCTCGCTTGGAAAACAATCTTCAGATGAGGACAACTTTCTCGCATCTCGAGTTGCTCGTGATTTGTTTGTAAAGCACACAACGTTTGATCACCGCGTGGATCAGAAACGAAAAAAGTACAACTAACGTAAACAAATTGCAAAAAAAAAAAAAATTGAATAGTTTGATTGTCTTCTGTTTATTAGCATTTCTTTTGTGCTGACTTAAGACAAAAAAGTGATTGTGCGTTTGTTTTTAAATGTGTGTCATTGTGTCAAAAATGTTCGTTTTGATTGAAAAATGGCTTTTAAAATATATCGCTGATATTTAATATAAGTTTATCAAACATGATAAGTGTAATGTTGTTGTCAATACATGCGATACATTGAAATAGTACAATTTGTGAATTCTCACTTTTGACATTACATCAACTCATAAATTTTTTAGGAAAATAGTCATACGATTCAAATTTTTACTGTGATAATTGATTTGAAAAGGCATAAGTGTAATTTCAGTTCTGCAATTCATCTGTGCACTCGTTGGTCGTCGGTTTTGAATCTGAACTGAAAGTTATCAAAGGTTTGCGTTCCTTCAGATAGCACGTTGTTCAGTTTTCCTATAATACATTTGGAAGGCCCCGCCGCAAAAAAAAAAATCGAATTCGAAGAGGAAATTCATACGGCGAAAATCTTGCAGTTCCTGTGATATAGTGTGCAAATTTCAAATTTTTCGAGACATTCATCCAAAAATCTAGCAAAATTTTTCAAATGACTTCGAACGCCATCAAGGGCATTCGACGGAAAAAGTCGACGCTCTCTGAAGTGAAAATTGCCATTGTTGGAGCTCCTGGAGTCGGAAAAAGTGGTAGGTACCTTTATCATCATTCTAAGCTCCTTAGCTCCTAATATTTACATTTTTTTAAATAGGGATAGAATAAAGCAAAAATACCCATTTATTAAAACGGAATATCAAATCGCTCAGTAGTGCGAAAACCGTGATGGAGGGGGGGAGGGGCATAAATTCTCAGATTTAGGAGATTTAGGTTGTCTTTATCTGGTTCATACGGTGATTAAGAGAGATTTAAGAAAATTCTTAACACACCACCCTAAAAATGAAAATTTTAACTACTATAAATTAAAATTTGGCAGTATAACTTTAGAGATAGACCTTTTTGAGGCAAAATACCTCTTTAAAAAATTTCAAAATATAAAATAAAAAACCATGTTGATTTTGAAAATTTTAAGATATTATCGTACCTACCTTACAATTTGTCGAAATCATGTGATTTTCCCCCGGATTTTTTTTCCAGTGTCACCTCATTGGCATCCCTTACTTTACGGATTTATTCCCGCAGTTTGAAGTTTTCTGTTGAATTTTACTCGTGATTCGTTGAAATTGTCATTTTTATTATGCCACAAGTCTTTTGAGGATTCCCTTAATCGTCCTTTAATCGCAATGTGTATACCTAAACCATAAGTATGGAGCGTTTTAGGGAAGGTATTGTTTGGGAGAGAAGTATGATTACGGTCCTAAGCCTCGAACACACTAATGACTGTGACTCAATCAGGTTCTGTCATCATCGATGCATAAACGTTGAATTTCAGAATTGGAATTGAAATTGGACATACTAATGCTAAAAATGACAGCAAAATCAAGAATATTTCTGCTTACATCAAGTCATTTTTTCGAGGAATAGTCAGATCCATGGGTCTTTGTTCCGTGAGTTTACTCCATTTAATACTCACGTATAAGCCACTATTTGAAAACATGATAATAGTAAAATGTGAAAATTAATGATCTGTTGTTGGCAGCTTTTCGATCTGCGATAATGATAAATACAGAAACCAAGGGAACAAAACATCTCGTATTTCTCTGTGTAAACATGACAGCAGTCGAGGAGATTCACGAGAATAAATTATGCTCGTTGAAACTGCATCAAGAACAGCTTCCGTGTTTACGGTGGTCAACAACCACCACCCACCCTTTCGTGATGAAAGTTTACTGCCACGGTCGGAGAATTTCCCAGGCATTTTTCGGGGAGGGACTTCATATGATGCAATCTATTCACTCTGCTTCTGCAGAATGCACGTATGGCAGACATTTCTGAACAGATAATTTTTAATACACCCTAGCTCTAACTCAGATTTATATTGCATTCATTGGCAGATCCAGCAAATTGGCAACGTTGCTTTTCTCCATTTAAACCTATGGAAATGTATCGATTCTTAGAGGGGGCAAGTGCTCCGACAAAAATCGATTATTTAACAAAGCTTTAAATGGAGAAAATCCGGTGTTGCCAAATTGCTGGATCCGCCTCTGATTGCATTAAAAAAATCAAAGTTTTAAATGATGAATCCTAAAGCCAAGAGGATGCGCCTCACACGATAAGTATGAATTCCTTCGGCGGTTAAATTAGGTCGTGGCGTCCGTGTGAAGAAGGGAAGCAACTGCCTCCCTTATCTGTTTTCAATAGATGATGTAAAGGTAATGGGTCCGTTGCGCTGGTCACAGAATCATGTTTTAATGCTTGATTCTTGTAGATTTGCTAAAAATAAGAGGATCTGCCCAAACAGCAACTTTCTACGTTGAATAACCGAGATATCTGGTACACGGACTTGATGTCCACTTTCTTTACGTCCACGGTTCTAAAACCCACACTATTGTTAAGTCCATTACTTAAACGTCCACTAACTTAAGTCCACAAATGTAAAGTCCACTGAATTCAAATTCAAGCGTCATATTTTAGTCCGTGTGAAAAATTATATTGACAATATCGAAATGAGAAAATTAAGAGAGAATGAGGTGTTGTCATCGTAACTCATATTTTAAATGAAATGTTAATTTCTTCTTTTGATTCATCTCTTCAAATTGTCTTTGATAAATACTTGCTTTCATTTCTATCCTTGAAATTTCCGTTATAAAATATGCCTTAAATGTACATTCTTTTTCTTTGACGAAATTGATTACTTCATTTTAAAAACATTTACATCTTTAAAACGTGGTAAATATTTGTAAAACCTTTTCCAAGCAATAGCATCGATATGAATCTCAATGAGCCGTAGTTGTGATGAATGAAACTATACAAAAATTAATAAAAGAGGAAAAAAACTAAGAAGCACGCAATTTTTTGTTTTTAACTTATTTGTACATCGACCTCCTTGAGTCAAATACGTCCAATTTTGAGCGTTTAGTTGCGCTTACACCACTCTGCAGCAAAGTAAAAGCCCAAAACATAAAATAATAAATTTTAATGCTTTGGAAATCATTAAATTTGACATGGAACCACTATTATATTTACAAAAAACACATTATATTTTCCAGTAGTACATATTTCTTTTTCATCAGTTCAAAAGGGAATAATCAATGTAGAGAGTGCAAACATTTCGAAATCATGAGTTGAAAAACGCTGACTCCACGAGTTTAAATACTAAAGCCTAACACAGAGCGGAGCGGCGTGTTAGCAGCGCAGAGCGCACTGGCGCCTACAAACCTAACGGGATACTTCACGCATTGCGCAACGCGTGAAGTATCTCGTTAGGTTTGTAGGCGCCAGTGCGCGTTCTGCGCTGGTTGCCTGCCGCGCAGCAACGCTTTAAGCAACTATTTCGCGTCAGAGGCGTTGCACCGTTTCCTACAAGATTGAAGGCGCACGAAATAACTAGTTAAAGAGGACTTTTAATTTTGACTGCATCTGTTACTGAAAAATGTTTAATTTGGCATTAGAGCGTCTCCTAGGCTCCCGCTTTGGTTTTCATCTTATCATATCCGTACAGTGTACACATGAACATATGTTTTTATCTGCTCCTAGAGTCTGTTCTTTTTCATGACTTGATTCATGAATGAAATGTTTTTAAGAATGAAGGTAGTAGTAGTATGCATTTATTTTTGAGGTGGCTCCTGTCATTTAAACGAGAAGAAAAAAATGTGGACATAACATGTCCACAATTTGGATAATTTTGCATATATTCATGGTTGGACATTAAATCATGTGGACTTAATAAAGACTGGACTTAACGTTCAGTGAACATAAATAGCGGTGGACATTTATTTAATGGACGAAAGGTAGGTGGACATAAATTCCTGGAAGCAGATATCGCGCCTTGAAAAACTCGATTTATGACGTCATCTACTGCGGTATAGCACATACCATAATATGCACTACCGCGATGGATGACGTCAAAAACTCGACTTTTCAAAGCAGGGCCGGATTTACCTACTTGCCGCCCATGGGCCACCTGTATTTTGTCGCCTCCTTCTCGTTCGTTTTGAAACATCAATAAAAACCATCAAGTGAACGTGCCGGAGGGAGAGGGGTACATAAGACGCGTTTACCTACTCGTGCTGAATACATTTTTCGCGGAAGCCCTGTCAACGCTACTAGAAAAATTTCATGGGACGTTGCGCAAAAACTAAGTTCCGTAAACATATCTCTGTGTGAACAAAGCCCTCCACAAAAAGAAATGAACCTAAAAATCGAAAGAACAAACATAAATGTGTGGTTTAATAATTTTAACTTCCGCCGCTGCGCCTCGCTGATCGCACTGTTTGGCACAATGCGTGAAGTATTCTTGCAGTCTTGTAGGCGCTACGCGTTTCACGCCAACCGCTCCTGACCGCACTGTGTTTGATGCATTGGGTGAAGTATTCATGTAGTCTTGTAGGCGCTAATATGTGTTACATGTCGACCGCCGTGCCGAGGGCTTGTCCTTTTCATCTCAAGTCCTCGTCATCATTCCTCTGTGCGCTGAGCTCCAGGCCAAATTGCTTGTCTAGTTCCTCTCTTAACCCGACTAATTAAAGATGCTGTCTCTTTTATCACCGAAAAACGATAAATAAATGTGAAAAGTGAACTGTCATTGTGAGTCAGAAATGTCTTTTAGATGACAAACTCCAAAAAGAAAATATTCAGATGTCGAGTTGTGAATTGTTTATTTTTGTCCACAGCGGGCCGCACTGTGCAACAGACTGAACTGCGAGGTCCAAAATGATAGATCGCCTTACATCCCTTACTCTCCTTACGAATATACCTCTTAAGCACGAATAGCTGGCGGTCTGCAAACCATGCTCAGCACATCGCTATTTCAAAATTTAAACTTAAAAGGTGCTCACATCATAAATGCATGTGTGCACCTTTTTTAGAGTAGTGGATGTCTTTTTATTGTAAACTAAGATTTGAAGGCGCTCTGTCATTTTAGATTCTCGTAGTAAAACCCGCTGCCGTGTCACGCCGCAGGTAAAGTAGTGAGTGTTGAGTGCCTGAAGAGTAAAAACGCCTTAATTTCTGAGCTTATGAAACACGGACATCAGTGGAGCTCGACTAGTTTCATACAGGAGTGGTAATAGAATTCAATTGGGTGTATTTCTGCGAAACGGAACTATACGTTCATTTAGACGTGAGCCCTGTTATGCATATATTCTCATGGGTCTCAGGGCTTATGTCTAAATGCACATAGTTCCGTTTCGTAGAAATACGCCCAATTGGTGTTCGGTGCTTTGCTTGTTTCATTTACACCTCAGTTTAATATTTATTTATACGCTAAAATTTTAAGGTCGAAACCTAAAAAGAGGCCTAAAGGCATATCTATATCAGTGTCTTTCCTTGCCTCGGCTCCAATAGTTATTAAAATGACCAGTTTTGCTCAGGTTTTACTCATTACCTTTATGAAACCTCAAAGCTCCAAATTATTAATAACTTGTAGGTTTTTTGACGATTTTTGCTCATCTGATAAATAAAAACGTAGAGGTGGCCTACTTTTGAAATAATCAATTCAATTGCATTATCTCGCGAAAAACTAAAGCAGCAAAATTCATAACTATTAGGACTGAAATACCATGCTTCAAATAGTGAATTGATCTATTTTTAA